AGACCAGTCAGCTTAACTTCTGTACCTGGAAAAATAATGGAACAAATAATTAAGCAATCAATTTGCAAACATCTAGAACAAAATAAGGTGAAAAGTAAAAGTCAGCATGGATTTGTCAAAAACAAATCATGTCAAACCAACCTGAAAGCTTTCTTTGACAGGGTGACAAGCCTTGTGACTAGGGGGGAAGTGGTAGACAAGGTATATCTTGACTTTAGTAAGCTTTTGATACTGTATCACATGACCTTCTCATAAACAAACTAGGAAAATGCAACCTAGATGGAGCTACTGTAAGGTAGGTGCAAAACTAGTTGGAAAACCCTTCCCAGAGAGTAGTTATCAGGGATTCACAGTCATGCTGGAAGGGCATAATGAGTGAGGTCCTGCAGAGATCAGTTCTGGATCCGGTTCTGTTCAATATCTTCATCAATGATTTAGATAATGGCATAGAGAGTACACTTATAAAGTTTGCGGGTGATACTAGGCTGGGAGGGGTTGCAAGTGCTTTGGAGGACAGGATTAAAATTCAAAGTTATCTGGACAAACTGGAGAAATGGTCTGAAGTAAATTGGATGAAATTCAATAAGGACAAATGCAAAGTACTCCATTTAGGAAGGAACCATCAGTTGCAGATATACAAAATGGGAAATGACTGCCTTGGAAGGAGTACTGCGGAAAGGGATCTGGGGGTCATAGTGGACCACAAGCTAAATATGAGGCAACAGTGTAACGCTGTTGCAAAAAAAAAAAAGCAAACATCATTCTGGGATGTATTAGCAGGAGTGTTGTAAGCAAGACACAAGAAGTAATTCTTCTGCTCTACTCCACTCTGATTAGGCTTCAACTGGAGTACTATGTCCAGTTCTGGGTGCCACATTTCAGGAAGGATGTGGGCAAATTGGAGAGAGTCCAGAGAAGAGCAACAAACATTTTTAAAGGTCTAGAAAACATGACCTATGAGGGAAGATTGAAAAAATTGGGTTCGTTTAGTCTGGAAAAGAGAAGACCGAGAGGGGACATAACAGTTTTCAAGTAAGTAAAAGGTATTACAAGGAGAAGGAAGAAAAATTATTCTCCTTAACCTCTGAGGATAGGACAAGAAGCAATGGGATTAAATTGCAGGAGGGAAGGTTTAGGTTGGACATTAGGAAAAACGTCCTAACTGTCAGGGTGGTTAAGCACTCAAATAAATTGCCTAGGGAGGTCGTGGAATCTCCATCACTGGAGATTTTTAAGAGCAGGTTAGACAAACACCTGTCAGAAATGGTCTAGATAATACTTAGTCCTGCCGCGAGTGCAGGGGACTGGACTAGATGACCTCTCAAGGTCCCTTCCAGTTCTATGATTCTATGAAATGGCAACTTTTTAAGGAGGTTCAGGATATATGTATGTGTCATGAAGATAACATGTGGATCATCTGTGGTTAAATTTAGAAAAGGAAGACCGAATGGCTTGACAATTTTAATGTTCACTATTTGCTCTCTTTTCAAGGGCTGATCTGAAAAAAGAGTGGAGTTAGGATTTTTACACATTGTGTAAAATACATATTTAATACATAATTGAACTCAATTTGTCTTATTTACATGCAATAGTTTTTTGGTTCCAATCCAGCTCCCATTAAAGTCAGTGGGAATCTTGGCCCCTTGACTCCTCTGTGTTTTGACATGATCATATTAATGAACTATAGAAACTTTTCCTCTGCATCTTTCTTGACCTAAAATCCATACTGTTAGATACAGAATCAAATACAGTTCACTAGGGATGGAATGTTCCTTTCAAGTTTTAGACTCTGTTTAGTATGATCCAGAAGGGCATGGATGTCACATGCAGTGCTGAAGTTGCAATTCAATATTATCTGGCGAGCACTGTCCTTTGGTCAAAATGTTAAAGGGAGCGGAAGGAGGTTGTCCATTTCTGGTGGCTGTCCAAGTCAGAACAAAGGATTCATTGCAATGCATGTTTGCCTACACAGTCATCTAACAGATTGTTTGCATAGCAATTTGGGTTACCTAGAGAATTCCAAATTAGAGTATAGAATTCTGAACGCGAATACATGAGGATCCACCCACTGAATTACAATATAACCTTCTTAGAGTGAAGACTTTTTTTTATATAAAACATCACTATGAACAAATATATATCCGCATAGTTATATGAACTGACACAATCTGAGACTTCCATTCCACTCTACCGTGAATGGAATTTTTGCTATTTCTCTGTTCATTATAAGGAGTTCCCACTGAATTCCATTAGTTTGGAACATCACACATTTTAAGCAAACAAAGTTCAAAGAGCTGCTTTTCATATGGAATTGCTAATTTGCTTCTGATCTCTGACGGTTGGGAGGGGGCCAGGCTATATTACAACCGTACAAGTGAAGCCTCAACAAGGAGAGACTAAGAGGGATATTCTGCCTCTGACATAGATTAACAAAAATATCCATTGTCATTACATAAACTGAAGGTGTTCCCATTTTCCTTAAAAGTTTAGCACTGTGATCCAGCTAAAAAAGTAAAGCCAGCCCTGCTTCTGTGTATCCCTGTTTTCTGTCTTCATACTTCCCCTCTTCATTCTAGTGTCACTAATGCCACTAGTGCCTTGGCATTGAACCAGTCAGCTCATAGCTGACTACATTACCATCTGATCTAGTGCATTCAGTGCCTCACCATCTTGGATTTTTTATTTATATGAGGATGCTGTGTGTCATACATACATACTGTGAATCATAGCATACATTCTTAGTCACTTTGTAATAATGATTGGTCAGTAGCAAATATTTTGGAGTCCCATATCCCATTATCAAACTATTCCTTGCATACATAGTAAAATAATGATAAAAAGCATGAGACAATTTTGGGGATTGGTCCTGCTTTGAGCAGGGGGTTGGACTAGATGACCTCCTGAGGTCCCTTCCAACCCTGATATTCTATGAAACTTTAAAACAAAACAAGAAGCAAACAAAGAAAATACTCAATAGCCTGGTTTGTTAAAAACCGAACATCACCCCTCTCAATTCCAAAATATGTACATTTAGAAAGAAAATGTGCAACACCCAAAATCTTTCTTATGCCAGAGATTTGTGTTCCAAAGTTGCCTGGTCTAACTAAGCACTATTGACTCACAGACCCAGTTACCCAGAAGTACATTGTCTAACAGAGCCAGGGTACTATGTATTTACATTCATTAGATTCAGTTTTCACATGGGAAGACTAAAACCATGTTTCAGCAAGTTTACCTCACATGCAATATTCCCCAAGAGAGTCTTGTGAAGAAACTAGGTATCTCAGCAATGCACTGAGTTATAATTCATATTCACATCCAGATCAACTAAAAGGACTATTCCGAGTCCAAAGTCAAGTAAGTTCATGAAAAACAGTAGTCAATTAAAAAAAAAAACAGTTAAGGAAGATAGTATTAATGAGAGTGACAGAAGCAGCAAAAAGTACCAAGTTTCCATAGTTAGAAGGAGTTGACTCACTCACTATCCGTTGGTTGGTTTGTTTTTCTATTGACAGCGGTTGTGCTATTGGTATATAGTAAGCAAGCATGTATCTATTGCGTAATTTGGAAAGTGTTTTTTTTAAAAAAGGAGTAGGAAAACCTGAAAATGGTGACCACTGAGTGCACATACAAAGCTGATATAAATTACTACCAGTGATAACGTTTTACACCCACTTTGCACAAATATAAATGACTACAAAAAGTGCCGGTCAGTGGAGGCTCATGCCCTGTGTAAAAGGTTATTAATCATTCTAATGGTTACTAATAATGTTTAATACTGGTATTTTACACACTCCTAAGCTGAAATCCTGGCTCCATTGACTTCAACATGGAGCCCGTCCTTACTGTGGAGTATTTCAACTTTATGTATTATAATATGCAGAACAGATACTTTTCACAGAACACAAATCATGAATCACTAGCAGTCTATTCACAATTACTAGCAGAGGTGGAGCAGAAGTAAAATCCTGGCTCTGCATATTCCTGGACTTTGTGGAAATGTGGATCAGAATCTGAACTTTATGGCTTGGACCATCTTTTTCTCCAAAACTGTGCAGAGTTCACAGATCCAGGGTGATAAGATTGTTCCCTTGTATTATGAAGGAATAATTTCCATTATCATATTGTTTCCGAGGAGTTAGAGACTTGATACTGTGGAAGCTTCTCCTTCACTTATAGTCAATGGTAGAAACATTTGTCATTAGTTTTATTCATTTGTTTCATTTTCATACTATTCTTTAGTAAGAGGGTTAAGGTGACAAAAGAGTCATCTGGGATCTTGATTTAAATCCCAGGCAATTCAACATGGGATTGGACGTGGTCTCTGATTTCTCACTTCTTAGACCTTTGAATCTCCGGAGCATTAGAGAAGTGCATGTTTGGGCTTTGGAAAGGCTTCTCTTTGTTTCCTGCATAGACTTTTCTCAGCATAGCTTTGGCAGCCATCTAGGAGCGAAGGATAAAATTCATGTGTGGGTGGGCACAAATGGTAATCCTAAGAGAAATGAGAGGGAATCTGAGATGCTTTCCAGCCGCCTTCAATTAGGTGTAAACATACCAGTGAAGTTATTGTGGTTGGATAGCTGGAAGCTGGGGGGCAAAGTGTGCTGTTATATACAAAAAAGATACACAATCAACTGCTTTCCTATTAGAGGGATAAAACTCTTCCACTACATACAAGGAGGTATTTGCCTGCACTAGGCTATAATTAAGGCAAAGGCAGACTTGTGCACACACAGAACAACTTTTCCTACTTTTAAATTGGTAAGTTGCTTTCATTTATGACTAATAATAATTTAGGCCCTGCTCCTGCAAATTGTTCTTTGAGGGATGGCTCCCACTGAAGTCAACAAGGCCCTATGACGGCACTGAGATCTGCCTGCGTGCTATAGCTTGGGATAATTCTGCACAAATTTGAAGACAGGAGATTGAAAACCATGATGGAGTTTGAGCGTAGTCTTCTTGTTGGACCATTTAAACCACCATCTACACAGTACATATTGAAACTCAACTTTAAGTATTTTATTTTTATATACAGTTCATTTTTTGTCTGGAAATAAAATATCTAAATACAGACAGATTGTAATGTTGTATATGTATAGCTCTCAACAATACTTTAGCTGAATAAATGCTTTGTACATTATTCTGTCTTTTTAATGGAGTTTACAGCTACATTGATAAAATGGATTCCTCATTTCCTTGATTGTTTTTAACCAATAACAAGCAGAGAGACAATTACAAGTTAATATTAATAAGCAGCTCAAATAACACTGGTTAAACTATGTACAATACAAACCATTCATACAAATGAAGACTAGGATACTGAATTTGTTACAATATTTGTAATAAAGATAAAACAGCCACTTATAACTTACATGTTGTCTATCGGGCATTTTCCTTCTTGCAGAACAGTTGGAGAGTTTTTAAGTAGCTCAGCTGGTCTCAACTCTGCCATTTTAAATGTTCAGTGAAGAAATATGTAACAATAATGTCTGCCCACATGTAAATTCCAAATGTCTGCTTATCTTTACTAGTAATAGGCTCCCTCCACAGAAAAAGAGCCACCTAACGCCACCTTGAATGTGCCTACTGAATGCTGGAAAAAAGTCACTATACTTTGCTGTGTTCATATAATGAGGAATACTGAATTCTAGACACACTTCCCCCACCCCCATTTTAACCAGCATTTACTCCTATAGTATTATTTACCAGTACAGCTAGTCTAAGCAGTAGAATGCATGAGTGGGGGTTATTGATTGGCATGTATTCAAGACGTTAACGTTGATTTCCAAAACAGTTTGTGTTAGAAACCATTCTCTGTCTAGTTAATCCTTTTGGCTTGATGATAGGTTATCCTGAAACATTATGTATCAGACAATGAAAGCCCTCTTAACAGGAATCTTAATAGAGGTGAGCTGAAAAGAGTGCATGTCTGTGTGGTTTTATTTCGAATCCATAGTGATTTACAACTAGATTGATACATGGAGCTGACTGGGCAGAAATTACATTAGATTGTTTTCCACTAACATATTTTCAGCCAGTTGACAGCAGCAGAAGAGTGTAGACACATTCCAGGCAATAGGGGTAGCCTTCTTCTTTGAGGTAACAGCCCTGTCATATAACCTCTTTTATTCCTCAGGCTTGAGTCTCCGACACATGTTGTTCATTCTCAACCCGAAGGGAAGTAGGGCGTGTCACTGTGGTAGTTGTAATCAGGACACACCTTCTGTACTAGTTTATAATCTGTACTATAAAAGGAAATGTAAATACAGATTACTTTAAAGGGCTTGGAGCAGAGCCATGACACATGACTTTGGGTCTGCTCCTGATAACATGTTTTTGAAGGGTCATAGTTGCAGAGTGTGTTCTTGGTAGCCTTGTCGACCTTTTCATATTCGATGCGACAGTTAAAGGACTTGGAATCTTTGGCATCAATCACCGTTTGTTGTGCCAAGTCAAATTCCACTATTTTGGTTGGGGGTACCAAGCTCACAGATACATTCCCTTGGCCAGTGGAATTGTGCCTGAAATAAACGCTAAACGTCCCATTGCCATGATCAACAATTTTCCCAGTTATTAAAAGGTTTAACTTCACAGTTTTGATGTTGGAATGAAAGTCGCCCCAGCCAAACATTTTCTTAAATTTCCCAGTCTTGACAATGGGCCGTCTCTTTGCTCTGGGTCGAGGCTCTTGAAGATCTGTGGAGTTCCTCAGCCAATCCCAGAGATCTTGCTCAGAATACGTTTCTGGGGCCTCATATCGCAGGTCCAAATCTGTATCATTTTCTTTGCCATGAAAAGTCTGTGATAGCAGTCGGCTGATGGACAAGTCTTTGCTGCTTTCTGTCCATATGTGCTTTAGTGTGGATTTGGAGCTGCTTGATTTTAGAAGTTCTGATTTCCCGCCATTTGTTAAATTTGCACATGTGACCTGGGGGGGGAAAAAAAGAGATCAGATTGAGATAGGTACCTACAAAACCCATTGCTCCCATCTAAGGCCAAAGAGATTATAGTTCAGAATTAAACAGAGTTAAAATTAGTTTTAAGGATGAGAAGGGGCAAAGCCAAGGCTCTGCCCAATTCTCCCCCCACCCCCACCTATAGGCAAAGAGGATGTAACAGCTCTGCAGAGGGGATGCCTGATATCCCTGTACCACTGTGCAGCCCAAGCCATATTTCAGTCCCAAGTGAATTATACAGCATTGAAATCCAAGTGAGTGTTTTGACTCCTAAAGTGAAGATTACAAAAGTGAATATCTAAGTGAAATGAACAGTTCAAAAATACAGATCAAAGTTTTATAAAATCATGAAAACCTTGCCCTGAAATCCTGAGGAATCTAAAAACGTCAGGGCCAATTTCTCACATCTGTCAGCACCAGAGCAAAAAGACCTAAGCTAACCATATTCATTTTTCCCTTCTAGCTTTAAAAATAAAGTACACACTGTCATACTATCTGAAGGGTAAGCTGAATAGTCTTGGTTTTGTAAGTGGACCGATGCTGCTCTTAACTCCTTTGCCTAGCTACAATGAGCATCACAGCAGCCCTCGCTGGTACTTTCATCATACAGGTGTTTTAGGAGCCATCCCTTTATCCTGTTTGCTTTTATAAATGCCTCCTCCCTTTATCAAAATTAACTGGACATATCGCCACTCCCTGAAATTCAGTGGAAACAATATAACACGTATAGTGTGAAGCCTTCTTGCTGGTGCAATCTAGAGATATTTGTATTGAAAGGCAGCAAATATAACAAAGATATTTCCATATCCTGATAAACATGGAATTGAACTGTGTTGCTGACCAGATTTCTCTTCCCAGGGTAGTTACGCCCCCTCCCAGACATGCTACATGGAAACTAAACATCTTGAAGGGATGACAGGTACAATGACAGCCTTTTAAAAAAATATTAAGTCAGTCAGAGTATTAGCAGAATAGCACCAATGCCTTTCAAGTTGGGGTGGGGACAGGGCAGAGAGAAGAAATAAATAGAATGTGCTCTTTATTTAGGATTAATCCCTTGGATGATTTTTCCATCTTTTGAATGGCAGGAAGGATAAATACTGCCAAGCATTTGATAGGTGGTTTGTACCTGTGTCTTAGCATCAACTCAGTGAGCAAGGAGAGAGGCTGTAATGAAATGTTCTGAAGGAGAACTACTTAATGAAGCAGCAATGAAGATATCATGGGGAGAGAGACTTAGAACATAATTTTGCAGAGGCTTATGAGGAGTGAGAGCAAAATAGGAGAAATGTGGTTAAAAGAAATGTGCCAGTCTAGCATGAATCTAAGCAGTTAACTAGCAGATTTAGTGTACCTGCAATCTGAAGGTAGGAAATAAATTGCTTATTTTCATATTTTACTCTCGTCAGTTTGCTTTTTCTTCTCCTTCCTTTTTTTAAAAAACATTTGTGTTCCAGTGAGCTACATTTCATAGGATTAAACAGCAAATTCCCACATAACCGGATGTAATACCATAAAGCTCATTTTAAAGAAAAGCTCTTTTTTTAGACTACATAAAACCAAGCACCCCAGAGAAGAAGTGGATATTTCTGAAATACTTGCTGTCGGCTACAAATCATGAGTGTTTTAAAAGCTAGTATATCTCAAGTTTAAATGGAAGCTTCAAATTCCAAGCAAGACACATTGTTTCATATCTGACCTAACAAACGCAATTGATTGTTACTCTCATTGATTTTGTAATAGTTTAAGAGCTTCTAGTCACGCAGTTGGCCCTGAGACCTCTGTTTGTGATTTTCTATTTGGGTAACTGGCTGCATTCATGATTAAAGACCTGCTCCTGCCCTCCCTAGTCAGGCATCTAAGCAAAGAGTCTGACTAAACAGTGTAAGAGCACCCAAAAGGGCTAACAATACAATTCATTGCTCATCAAAGTAGTATTATTTGCAAAATGATAGTATCTTGTTTTTAACCCTATAGCTTTTTCCCATACTACTACTGTGTTGTATTGTAACTATACATATATCCCCCCAGATGTGCACACCATGTAGTGGAATACAGCTAATACAGCCATGTGGAAAAGCAGGATTTATTTTATGATTTTGTTATATATGTGTTCACATCTACCCAACCATCTCAAAACTGTCACAGAAACTGTAATATAATTGTAAGAAAACATCCAAACCTATGACATTTTGCATGTTTGTTAAGCAAAAACTATTGCACTTGAAAATGATCCCATTTTAGCATAAAAATATCATGAAAACAGGACCAATTTTCAATACTCAATGATATGCAAAAAATATTAAGTATTTCAATTAGTTGTGAATGTCTTCATCCCTAGAGCATGTACACACAGTTCAAAAATACATGTACTATAACATCCATTTTGCTTTCTCTTCCCCCATCTCACTGAATATATATCAGGTGCCATTTAATTCTTGATATGTTCTGCACTGAATTGTTTACCATACTGCAGTAGAGTTCAGTGGGACTCCTCTCACATGGAAAGTTACTTGAGTACATTTTTGCAGGATGGGGGATTTGTAGTATTCACTATAATTAGCATTGGGCCTACATAAACATCACAGTAAATTTAACTATCATGGACAATAAATGTCAAGATTTATTTGGGTTGTACTGTACACTACATTTCCAAAATCTGTACTATGATTTAAGTTTCTATCAACAGAAGCTCTTTGGACTGTCTCTTACTATAGGTTTATATAGTGCCTAGCACAAAGGAGCTCTGATTCTCATTGGGAGCTTTAGGCACAACCATAATACAAATAGTAATAGGTAAAGTATGAAATGCTGACAGGTATACCTACTACAATGCATGATTTTTTTTCTTCAACAAAGAAATGCTTTCAATTTTTAAATGAGTATAATAGTGGAAGGTGGTGTTCAGAAGGGAACTACAACAAAGAGTAGAAGATATTTGGGGGCCTGATTCAAAGCCCACAGAGCTCACTGAAAGACTCACAATGAGTACAATGGGCCTTGGTCCTGGCCTTTTAGATGGAGAATGCATATTTCCTCTAGATAGAGTCACCAGACCCTCTTGGTATCAGAAATCACACTATCGTCTGGTCATCCTTTTCCCATGAATAATGACAAATTGCTGTTCAATATATTTTTTGTAATTTTTGACAGTGCTTTCAGTGAAAATAAGATATGAAGTTTATATTATGGAGACAAAGTATATTTTCATGACTATGGAATTGATTTGTATGTCCAGTTTCACTGAGTTTCAACAAAACACTCCAGTCTTTGTCTGATCCTTTTAGAGACTGAAGACATTTTCACAGTGATATTTCACTGATTTGACATTAACTTCATTAGATGTGTTTTTCATGAGTATTATTGTCTCATTTAAGACTCCCTAAGAGAGGGTAACTCATTTACCTCAAAGCCTTTGGGGTTCAATTTAAAGACATCCCTCATGCACATGAACTTATTACCTACCGTAGGCCAAACCTGGATGCTTGAGATCAGATACGTTTTTTTAAATATCCAAGTGGTACAAAATGACTCTTGATTTCTTAGTCTTTCATTATACTGTAGATCTATTACAGTTCATTATATGTAATTACAGTATTGGTTTAGAAATTATGTATTTATTCCTCTAAATGTATGAATACTTGAGGGCAAATGGAAATGCAAACAAACAATCTAATACTCAAGGTAGGAAATTTCTCTCTTCAGGTAAATAACTCATCAAAAAAACCCAAGTTAATTTTGGCTGGCATACCGTAATAGGAATTTGTCAGCTCAGTGTTTGCATATTCACTGTGTAGAGCAACACAGTATTCTGACTCCCTGGCCAGATGCCTCAGGTACTTTGCTAGTACAGGAATATGAACACCACATAGGTCTAAATGGCACTCTAATGACAAGACACAAGCACTCAGAATTCTCACCTAGATCCAATGTCTATGCATAAACATTATTGTTTGTTGGTTGGTTGATGGGAAGATCTGAAGATTTAGGACCCTGTTGTACTTTGATCTACTTTGCTGAGGTTCCAGTTCTCAGCGCACATGATCAGCTGAATCCACTAGAACATCCTCTGCTGTTGATGTTGCTGCAATTTCCCGGGAAACAAAACAAAGGGCACATTTCTTGTTCTTCTCATATGAACACTGATCAGTATGATCCCTAAGAAACAAGGATGCAGAAGGTGTCTAAGCTTTAAGGCCCAGATCCTCATTTGGATTAATTAATTGCATAGCTCCATTTACACCAGCTGAGGATCTGACTCTAGAAGTTGTTTTATAGTTCTTAAGTAAATAATCAAGAGGTTAGAAAAGAAAAGGGCATGAAGAGAATCTGGGCTTTTTTCTCTGCCTTGATGTACCATGAGAGGAAAATAAAATAAAAGCATAAAAATTATACTTGAAAGATAATAAGAAAATGAAAATACTCTGAGACCTAAGGCTGAGAAATGCCCTCCATGCCAACTACTGCACATTGGAAATGTGCAGTCATCCATACTAGTGAAAATATTGTCCAAGCATTGCTGACAGGGTCAGAGATATCTTGGGCAGGACTGGTCAAAATTGTTTCCATTAAAATTGTTTTCCTGTGGAAAATTGGATTTTTGATGGAACAAAATTTTTTGCAGACTGTGTCTGCTTTGTGCAGAAAACTTTTAGTTTTCATCAAAAAATCTGATATACAGTACTAATGCAAATGGTCATGTCAGTTATTTCCATCCTTAATATCCAGGTGCCTAAAGATCTTTTAAAATCTGGCCCCAAGTAACTCTTACAGGTATTATGTCATATAATATAATTAAAAAAATTCACTGAGTAAGTAAAAATATGTTTACAATTGTTTCTATGGAACAATTTTACAGAGAGCATTAATAACTTTTCAATTTAAGGGACAAATTGTCCCCACTAAATTCAATGGCAAAACTTCCACAGCAGCAGAAGAGCCAGAAAAGTGTCTGATGTTGTGTAGTTTGTTT